GAAGAAACAACGCAGGCAGAAACCAAAGTAATTGTCAGCAGACAAATGTAGCAGTCATTTACTAAAAGTAAAACAGAGTAGATCTATTAACATGTGAATAGAATTGACAGTTTGTCCAACTTCCACTCTGGAAAAATGTCCACCCCTGGCCCCCAATACACAGAGAAGTAATCTGTGGCGCATGTATGAATGTCCAATGGCACGGTAGACTGATAGCCATGCCGTAACTGATAACTATCCATTTCTTGTAGACCATCAGATTATTCAGCATTGTCACTCATCCAAGCATTAATGTCACTGTTCAGAACATTGCCTCTTTCCATTCATTAAAATTGTTCTTTAATATGGGCGATTTCATATGAGGAGACGTGCAGCAGATGTCCAGCTCTTTTCGTGACTCACTTCATCTATTACAGTAGTAACTGCTTTGAAATCTGTCTCTATAGCTTGTAACTGGTAGACTGCTTATGCATTGCTGTAAATTAATAATGAAGTCTATTCTATTAGGGATGCACCGAAATTTCGGCTGCCGAAATGTTCGGCCAAAAATGGGCCTATCCCATTTCGTCTGAAAAAGGGTGGTCAAATCTACTGAAAATTACATCCCCCTCCCCCCAAAGTCCCACCGTGCGCAGATAGCCAAACTCTCCCAGCCCAATTGTCTCGCCGGATGATACTCGGATTGGTTGGCTGTGTTGGGTTTCTATGTTGCCGGGTGATGCAGAGAGTTGTGGAAGACGCGGATGGTGGAGTCACGAGGAGGAGAAGCGCTGCGTGTGCGCGTGTCGTGGGGGGGGGGGAGCAGAACCAGGAGCTTTATCCAGCTGTGCGTGTTGCTGTCCGGAGAGTGAGGGAGCGCTTAGTATACCGGCACTGTGTGTCATGGCAAGGTGTCCGGCTTACAGGCGTGTTGGGAAGTAGTCCAGGGTCTCTGGGTCCTGTGTGTGGGAAGTAATGAGCTGTGAAACAATTATTATCCTGAAGGTGTCTAGAGAGGTCAGAATATATTTTATAGGAGGTGAGATATGTACCAGGATTGGCTGACCTCAGTCCATGTCAGCTGAGGATTCCTGTAGACCGGGGATTGATTTTACTAAAGCTGGAGTATCTTTATACTGGGAATATATTCATGAGGAATAACAACTAGAACCGAGCAGTGTAGGGCAATCTGTAAATAAGAATATATATGTCAGATGTAAAAAACTATTATGTAGTGGACACATTGACTTTAATTTTACACCGGCTGTGTGCTGCCACCGTGGCATGTTAGGTACTGCAAGTTGCCACTGTACCACCCTGCCCCTTTGACACACCACCTGTGTGTTGCCACTCTACTGCTGTCGCACAGTATTAGTGTTTGTTTTGGTGCTCAGGCAAGTGACCAACTGAAACTTATTGGTCCATAGCAATAGAGTTACATATGTAGGGCTGTTGTCTTCCTGTGTTTGTTTATTTTCTTTTTCATATTAACAAAAAAAAAAAAAAATTAAGTCATTTTCGGTTTTCAGCCTAGGGCATCGTGAATTTTTGGTTTCGGCCCAGAATTGTCATTTCAGTGCATCCCTATATTTTATATAGTGGATATTAGTGATGTCCCGAACTGTTCGCAGAACAGTTCGCCATGAACTCCGGTCAGCAGACACATTCCAGCCAATCAGCAGCAGACCCTCCCTCCCAGACCCTCCCAACTCCTGGACAGCATCCATTTTGAAGCTGCATTCTTAGTGAGCTGTCCAGGAGGTGAGAGGGTCTGGAAGGGAGGGCCTGCTGACCGGAGTTCGCGGCGAACCGTTTGGCGAACAGTTCGGGACATCACTAGTGGATATGAATATTATGGGGGTGCGCGGGGACTAAAAGGAAGCAAATCTTATTTTTTTTTTTTTTATTTAAAATTACTTTAATGGGGCCCTTAAATAGTGGAGAAAACTCCAAAGTTAGGAATACAAGTTTGCATTCCCAATGCTAGAGTGCTCCTTCATCCAGCCAAAACTACTACAAATAAGTGTTGCCCGGACAATAGGATATGTATTCACCTACAGGTACATGAACAATTTCCCCAACTCAATCAAATTTAGGAGTTTGTTCCCAAAACAAACAATTGTGTGTCTGCACTGCATCTCCTCTGCCATTTGTTTAGTCATTGAATCAAAATCTCTGTCAAGGAGCAACAATATTAACATGAAAAAAAATTAAGCCCTGCGCTCAAACTCCCACTACTCCTGGCTGGCAGCAATGACTATAGTACACCTCAGCCCCAAAAATACAATAAAAAAAAAAACAATTTACAAAGTTAGAAAAACATACAGATTGATATAACTGGAGATTTTTTTATTTTTATTTTTATTTTTTTTGTATCACTCCCACGGCCACCAAGTGTAAGCACACCTGCCACGTCAAGGCAAAATCTCTTAAGTGAGTCCTACATTAACAATTCATGTTGCGTTCTTTAGCTAAGGGGTACAAATCTGTAATGAGACAGAGGGGGGTAATTTTGTAAATCCCTACACACTTATTAACCCTTAATAGGAAGAACACCGGGTGGGTGGCAACACTATCATGGCTGTGCAATACATTCATACATTAATATTTTCACAGAAAATATTAAAGGGAACCAATAATGCCAGAAAAAAATAAATAAAAGTTATTTTCCTTTTAATAGTGCCCACCTTCCCCCACACTGTGCAGAAGGGGTTAAAAAAAAACCTTTTGTAACTTACCTCAGTCTAGCGCTGATGTCTCTCAGCACTGGTTCTCCTCCGCACCTCCCAGTCAACGCCGGCCAGCAGGGGAACCAAATGCACATGCACTGCAATGGCTGCGCTAGCTTTAGGATTTACCTATAGTGTCCTTTTAAGTGAGCAATGCACACAAAACCCACCTGCGGCTAGGTTTTAAAATGTTAAAGTTATTTCCACTGTCATTCACATCAGCCTCCTGAATTAAAGTAAATTACATATGTAACTTTGAGATGGCTCTGTAAGTAAAGCTCCAGCTGAAACCAGTTTATTAAAAAAAAAAAAAATAATAATTATATATATTTAAAAAAAAATTAAAAAAAATTTTTTTTTATATATGGTGCGTTAACGGATGAACATTTTCTAACTATATAAGCAAACAATACAATTTATCATAATCAAAACCACTGAACAGCAGATGTTCCAATTAAAACAGTCTAGTATTTTTTCCTCATTCCCATATATTTCATGTTAACTGAATTCGCAAAATTGCCGGTCACGCAATTACAGGGACGTTATCACCCTAAATATTTTCATATTAAGAACTGCTGAGGCATGAGAAAACACAGGCTACAGTTAACCCAAAACATGCAGATCTAGCATTACTGAAACATAAAAAGGATCTGAGAAAGTCTAATTTTATAACCTAGGTCAAGAGCACAGCCAAGTAAATCCAGAAAGCAGATTCCCACAAGGCATAGTGCCCTGGGCCTTGGCTCAAAGCTAAGGATTTGCAAAACGCAGACCTTTCTTCGACCTAACTCCCGCTTTAAAAATACCAGACAGATGACATCATGTAGCCGGGGGCCAAATTGTGCACAAATTACAAACACGACCACTGTTTGTACACAAGCTCACTGGAATAAAAAGATTGAAAGTGATCAAAAAAGTCTGTTTTTAAACACAGTCCTCCAACACTCCAACTACTATACTCCCTACGGTATACTGCAGTGGTTATGGTGCAATAAAGATAATCAAGTTCGGCAACAGAGAATGTGCCTGCAGCAATCATCGCAAGCTGCTCTATACCCCAGTGCTTGGAAACAAACATTCATAAAAAGAGCAATCCACCAAAGGGACCAGGGGTCTTGGAAGGACGGAGGTATAACTTGTTACACAGCTCCACAATAGCCCACAACATACACTTAAAGATCCAAAAGTAAAACCCCTGGTCCATCTGGTCAGGCAGTAAAGTTTGACAGCGCATAGCAATATAACAGAATATTTATGAAAGTAATCTGAAATGTGTACTTTGTTCTTGATTGGTTTGTATTTAGGATTAAAAGTAGTTCTTTAGATGGGCGGAGCTTACCTACCGAGCAAACCAGACGTGCCTGAGGCCAAGATTCTGGGTTTAATGCCCGACCGTACCAGCGGCGGACAACGATATTCCGGACGAGGAGGCAATGCTGCATTAGGGGATACCTGACTCGAGGTTCCCCACTGTTGAACCATACACATCGAAACCTGCGGCCTACACGGGTGGGAGCAGAGGAGAGGCAGCCGATCTCCCAGTTCTCTGGCTGAAGAGGGAACACTCTCGCATCATCAATTCACCTTGCCTTGTAGCACTTAGACCTACACTAGTCCTTATAAAATCACACAGCATGCTTAGCCAGAGTGCAATATGTGCCGAGCAAGCTACCACTCTCGACTATCACTCAGGCAGTAAACACAGGCCATATCTCACACCCTACAGTTGTCACTCCATTTTACTGCTTGCGAATATGTAGACAAACACATGCCTGTCTTTTACTAGTAGTTAGATTAGCAATCCAGACCCGGTCAGCCAATATAGCCTGCATACTATACTGTTGTTATGTCTTACTTACTGACCAACATTTATGGATACCAGTTACTGTCCCTAATCAGTGATAAAACAAAAAATGTGCAGTCTCTATGCATGCCATGATCCTGACCTATGTTTGCTTGTTTATTCTCGGCTTGTTACAGCTATCGTGGCGTAGCAAGCGTGTATGTTAACCGTTGCACAATAAAAATAAAGAATTATAAAAAATAAAAAATAAAATTTTCTTTGCCTAAATACGGTTTTAGAAAGGAACACCAAATTTAAAGTGTCTCCATGATCTGCTTGGGGCACTGACCTTTCCCCAAAGAGATTAATTGATTCAATGCATCTCCATAAGGAGATGCTGATTGGCCAGTGGGCATTTGGCACCACCCCCGGCCTACTTCTTGGCAGTCTCAGCCAATCCAATGTTTTCCTATGGGTGCTGGAAATAAGGTGAGTTTTCACTCCATATAAGGGGGGCGAGAGGCTAAATAGTGATTTTAACACTATAGGATCATGAATTTATGTTGGTGTCCCTGATCCATTAGTATTTCTTTGATGTCAGGGTAAAAAAAATAAAAAAAAATAAAAATAAAAAAATACCTTTGGGTAGCAGATTTTGTCCAACATACATGCAAGTTAAAAAGAGAAAATACAAAAGAGTAAATAAAATAAGTTGGTATTTCACCCCAAAAAAAAAAAAAAAGGGGGGGGAGAAAAATAAACACAAAAAACAGCAGAAAATTGAAAATGACATCTTTAGAGTAAAAAAAATAAATCTAGTAACAAGGAATACATAAAAGGACAAGACCTTAAAGAGGAAACAGAAGTACTGGCAGACTAAATAGTCTGATTTTAGATTTCATTTGTACAAGTGCAAATATTAAACTATGACTAATCACACCTCAGCAGAAGGCGAATGACCTTTGCATTTGCAAGCCATGATGTCAGGAAAGAGATTACATCATCAGTACAGTCAATAAGCAACATGCTCTCTCTGTGCCACAAGGTTGGGGGGGAGAAGTGTATTTAGCTATATTTGAGAGGGATGGCGAGAGGGGAGAACCCCGACCATGAACAGTCATGATATTATATATTTACACAATGGAGGAAATTCATAGAAACTTGTAAACAGATGAGGGCCACCGTTCTAAGAGGGTTCCTGCGGATCCTTTGGTTTTATTGAGATTGTTCCACTCTGGGCGGAATGATGAAACTCATCTGAGAGGAGAGGTAATTGCATATTTCAGTAGATTTCATTAATCTAAAGAATGTAAAATTCAGGAGCCTCAAAGTTTATTTTTGTTTGTTTTAGAAGTCTTGAAGAAGATGCATCTCGTAAGCCTGTGGGCTAGATCTCACGACTTTTCAAGTTACTTCTAAAACGGCCAGAAATCCACCAATAACAGAATACTGAAGGCTTGTGCCGTTTTTTGCTTAGAATAGTCAATGCCCTCAGAAGAGAAGATAGTCAAGTCACAATGTATATAGTCATATGGAAGAAATCACACCTGACTTGGGCAAACTGTAGTAATGCCTCAACAGCTGCAAACATTCAAAGTGCAATAGAGAACCGTCCAGAAGAGGATGGCGATGCTTGCGAGCATCAGGTTCGGGTAAGTTAAACTCTCCTTTGCCTTCCCTGGCCACCGGACCCCCAGTGGCGATGTCACCGCCGGGGGTCTTTATAAAATTTGCAAAGTTCACAGACAGTTCTGCTTTAAATGTCATCTTTACTTAGTACATAGGGACACAATTACAGTAACAGTGACCCACAATTTATGTATGATAGTTAGAGACTGTGGTTTCAGATTGGAATGACCCAACAGTCACTACTTTCACTCACATTTGGGGGAGAAAAAGAAAAGAAAACAAAACACCAGAATATAAAACAGATACAGTGTTGGTTTAAGAATGGTTAGATGCCAAACATCTCAGAGTGCAACAAGTTTGTATTAGGTTAATTTTCAGTGCGCTTGTTTTAAAAGGGTTAATGCATACTAAATGGTTCAGTGAGGCCTCCCATGGATAATGGACAGAAGAAAAGTGGAGATAGGAATTTCTGTCAAGCAAAGCAAGATGTCACAGGAGATGCACTCAGATAAGTACAAGAGAGACTGAGAAAAGCCCGCTCACTAGTTGCCTCATTGAAACATTGAGATAAAACAGGCTAAGCTGTGGAGGGGGGCCTAACAAGGTAGCTTAGAGAGCACACAAGTGTTTCAAATATTTTAATTGTTTTGAAGTAGGCTTGT